ATGGACAAGTAATAAAATATACCTAAGAGTTCAGATTAATCATTCTCGCGAGAATTGCATATTCAATTAAATTCCACTTAATACTAAGTTTAACCGAAATAACATTGTATGATTGCGGATAATTTGCAAATTAAGCTTAATTATAACTAATTATCAAACTTTTTAATTGACTAAGAAGCATTTATAAAACTCAATTAAGGAAAACCACTTGGATCTTGAATCTCTCTATGCTCTTTCATTTTAACATCAACCCCACGGTTTGACAACACTTATTCATGTTCCGTGATCAATGTTTCTATTTTATTTAATTATTTTCCTTCGGTAATACTAAAACTATCCTCTATGATTACAATATATCGATATAAAAGATACGAACATACGAAGATGCAGTAAATCACATTCGAAGAAATCATGCAAAGTATATTGTTATATCTAGATACACCATTGGACTTTGTAATGGTTGATATTGTGTGCTATAATTTCTATTATTTCTCTCGAATAAATTATATAAAATAAGTTAGGCCAAGTAATTGAAAACCATTGTATACCTAAGAACTATTCAAACAAAACAAATATTTAAAGTCAAGATTTAATATATAACAATAAAACATCAAAATATACTGTTCTTCATCCTAATGTTTATACAATTAGCCAAGCATCATGATTTTACAATAATAATAATAATAATAATAAAATTGGAATGATAATACATCATCCAAAAATCAAGTGTGGAGATAAAATGGAAATAATTTTGAATTTTTGAATCTCTACAACAATTCTTATATGATCTTGAACTAAACTAGGGTTCATGTTTTCCTCCTCAAACTTGAGTATCTCTTTCGGCTGTTCTTTTAATACTTCTTATTAATCACATACAACATGATTAGTCTTCAATTGATACGAATCAACTCCAATTAAGCTCATAATCTCCTTTCTCCACGTTGATTGCATCCATGTAAGAACTTTTCCTGCAATTAACATAGTTGCACTAAATTAGGTAGATATCCACTCAATTAGTCATAATTCATAAAGTTTAAAAATCCAAATAAGTACGTAAAACAAAATTATCAATTATCAAACTATTACTAGAGATGAAATAATCACAAAAATAGTACTAAATGAAGTAGTTACATATTTTGCCACAAGGAAAACTTAATTTATACACGGTTTATCATTGGAACACGTTTGGAAAGCATTACGTTGATGAAAGGGTGGTAGGTGACCAGGTATTAATGCATCTTGTGGAAAATATTTGGGTGGCACAGGGGCTAAGCTAGTGTTAGAGCTACGAATTAGCTCGTATTAAGAAAGAGGCTAGTGATCTACCCCTTCGAGAGCTAGCAGGATTGGATCGTAGCCATCTATACTCCCTTTTCTTTTTTTTCTTTTTTCTTTTTTTTTTTTCCTTCTAGACGCGACTTAAAGAAAATTGGGATCGTTAGGCTCGACATAGGAAATGTTATACGTCGTTTTTGGATTATTCGATTCAACCAACAAAATAATGTTGCTACAAAGTCAAGTTGGGCTTCTCTCAAGGTTGACCGGTTGGACCAAGTAAATGTCGCAAACTTGGCACAAATTTCGATACCGCCATGACCAATAGGAGAAGAAGAATAATTTTATGAATCAAAAATTAATTACAAAACTTTTCTCACCTATTAACTCCTACATGTACAAATTTTGAACTCAACTTATACCGAACAAACATTAGTAAAGTTTTCTCAATTTTCTCTCTCAATGCACCATCAATTTATTTGCATGATAAATACACATTATTCACTTATTTATGACTTTTTTTATTTAATTATTTATGGTGAATTAAGTGATAGTTACTCTAGTGTATTATAGGTAAACCTAAATTTAGAAGCACTTTGTGAAATTGAAGTGAAATAGGAAAGATTAGAGCTTAATTGGAGTTCATTCGAATCACTTGAAGATCAACTAGATTGCAATCGACCAACTGAATGTATTAATGGAGCAATCAAATGATATTCATAAGTTCCAAAAGATAAACTCAAATATTTTGAAAGTTTGGGAACTAAATTATGGAATTTCAGAACTTGCACCAGATCAATTGTGAATGATTTTGGAATGATGAAGACCTAAATGTGGAGTTTAGGATGAAAAACGATCAAAGTTGGATAAAAACTAGAAGAATGGACCATAGTAGTACGAAAAAGGTTGAATGGGAATCAACTTGAATAAATTTGTAGGATGCTGAAATCAATAGCCATGTGATCGCATGAGTTTATAGCTTGCAATAGCGAGTAAATTTTGATCAGAAAAATATTTTTACTTAAACTATGCATTATCAAGTGTTTGTATCATATGATAGATGGTTACATGAGACAGAAATTATTTTGTTTTCTATTTTGATTCAGCCCTTATCGAAAACCAATTTGGGCACAAATTTTAACCTAAACTTTGGCTCTATAAATACATTCTCTAGTCCAATAATTGAAAAAAGGCTTGTTGGGGTTCATTATACATGTATTATTCAAGCTAGGAGAACCTCTTTTGGTTATAATCCTTGTAAGGGATAGAGCCACTAAGGAAGCATTGTTCGACAATTTCATATATCTATTCAAAGCTTTATAGAATGTTGTTACATAACACATTCATACATACCCATGCATCTATTTCTTGGATTGAAGAGAAGAATCATGATCAAAAGGAGTTGATTAAGGAGACACTGAAGATATTCAGTAACCTCAAATTTCTTTCCAATTATTCAATTTTGAGCGATGTTGAATTTTCCTAATTGTGTTACTGTAATTAATTTGATGCTTGACTAATTGTATGGATGTTAGGAGTTCAATCTTACTTTTAAAGTTTTGATATTTAATTCCATATTTTGACATTAAACATGCATTTGATTTTGAATGATTGTTAGAAAATTAAAGCATTTCAATTAGTTAGCTATTAATTGGATTATTATGTGATTTATATTGACATTCAAGAGAAAGAATAGAAATATGGTACATAGTAACAATCATTATAAAGTTCGATAGCGGATACAGATATTTTGATGTGAATGATGTAAAGCTAGGATGCGTGAATGATTGTTATTGTGCAGATATTTGAAGTTCTTGTGATACAATGCGCATTCACACGTTCGCATCTTTAGAAAAAATATAGGAATGTTAGATGCAAGAATATGTTTAGTTTTACTTGAGACAGATTATTAAACGAATTAGGAACATTGATTTTTATCTCCAAATATGTTTGTCTAAATCAGGAATTAATATTTAAAATGAATGAAAGTAGGGGGATTCATGATCCTAATATTTATCAAGTACTTGAGTTTCAAAATGCTATCACGTAAATTTGTTAGATAATTTAATTTAATATAAATTTAGATTGTTAATATACTACTCATCCATACACTAATCTTGCTATTCAATTATAACTGGCATTAATTGAAAATTAGATTAAATACATAGTTCTCATGGAAACAATATCTTATTATCTACTTTATTACTAGGCTACGATAGTGTTCACTCATGGAATTTCGTCTATCACTTAGCATGTGCTACTCTCTTTCTGCATAAAAGTATTAGATTAATAATGTTATTTATCCCCAGTGATACCAGAACACCAGTTTTAGTGGTCAAACTTGATAATTTAATTAAATAAATCATGTAATTTTACATTTAAGTGAATCTATTATTTAATGCCTTGCAATTTCTATCTAGGCTGGTACATAACACTATGGTGCTAGCTATCATTACTAATGCACACTTTCTCTTCTCCGTTATCTCTTAATGCATATGCATATATTAGTCCTTACAATGCATAACTACATTGCCAAAAAAAAAGGTGACAAGCTTCATACCATAGTATGAAATGAAACATGACCACAATAGGTCCGATGTTCTGTGGAGATTAACATTAACTAGAATTCTCTTTCTAAGAAAATGTCATATGTGCAATAGAGGTGGCCCAACCCACCACCTTTCATTGATTGACAAGTTCATCTATTATGCTATTTCTGCTTGTGATTCGGATCTCACACTTTCCATCATCTTGGTAAGAGGTTGGCTAAAAGAATATAGGGAAAACGCACGGTGAATCCTCATTGAAGATGATGTCCTTCGCTTTCATAGTTGTATAACAGTTGCTTTTCTAGAAAATATAATATTTCACTATCTCATATTTCCCTTCCTTAAATGACCCGTTCAATGCGCTTTATTTTTGGTACCAACAATTAAGAATTAATTTCTCCTACTTGCTGCATCAAAATCAAGTCACTAGACTTCTACACCTCATCTCCCCACCTTGGAGCATATAGATCCACCCGATTGATGAAATTGCAAATAAATTCTTTGATTGCTGAAGCATGATCCTCCATGCTTCAATGTATGGCTTGTAACCATTACTTTTGATATGCCACCCCGAACCTTCACTCCGATTGCTCTCACAGCCTTTTTGTCTCATTGAAGATGCAAAAAGTCCCTCAACTTTTTGATAAGTTTTATTCTAATTTGAGTTAGACCTGCAAATATTGTGGTCATGCTACAATTGTGTTTTATAAATTAAACATAAAATAACGCAATTTTTGAAGAAAACAAGAACAAGATTGCAAATAATTATAAAATAAAATCATATATTAAAAATATTGTCAAACTATAGTAATCACCTAAATGATACCAAATCATATAAGACCATTTCGTGTTTGCCCACAAGTAAACTGGATTTAAATGGCGTGCAATCATAAAATTGGATTAAATTCTTTTGACAATATGTACGATTCCACGCGGGTGAAGTAATCATCATTCATACTTAATCTATATCTAGATAGAGGGTGCTTTATATAATCATGGAAAAACTATAAATTAATTGTTTTGTCAAACGCTAATTAATTCACGATTCTTCCTTCTACGGTTTGAATTTTCCATGGTCAAATTGTAGAACATTTGCATTATATTATCAAAAATTAAAATGGCTGCCCACATTCTTTACCCTATAAATATTCCAGCTTTTTTAACATTTCCAATCACAAAAATAACATACTTTAGATCAAAAATGGAAAGTTCAAGATTTGCTATAATTTCATTCTCTTTAACCCTTCTTCTTTCTGTTTCATGGGCCACTGCAAATAATTCATCTCTTCTTGAATGCCTTGAGAGCCATTCCGAACCCTCTAATCCAATTTCTGCAGTTTCATACACTCCTGGAAATTCTTCATATTCTTCTGTTTTGCAATCTTATATACGAAACTTGCGTTTCAATGAATCTACGACGCGTAAGCCCCAACTGATTCTGACCGCATTGCATGTTTCTCACATTCAAGCAGCCATTGTTTGCTCCAAAATTCATGGACTGCAAATGAAAATCCGCAGTGGAGGCCATGACTATGAAGGGGTCTCGTATGTTTCAGATGTTCCATTTTTCATTCTTGATATGTTCAACTTTCGATCAATCAATGTCAGTATTGAAAATGAGACTGCATGGGTTCAAGTTGGAGCGATTCTTGGTGAAGTTTACTACAGAATTGCAGAGAAAAGCAATGTTCATGGGTTCCCCGCCGGAGTTTGCCCGACAGTCGGGGTTGGCGGCCATTTCAGCGGCGGTGGATATGGTAACATGATGCGAAAATACGGCCTCTCCGTTGACAACATTATTGATGCACAAATAATTGACGTTAATGGCCGGATTCTTGATCGTGCATCAATGGGAGAGGATCTGTTCTGGGCAATCACTGGAGGTGGTGGATCCAGCTTTGGAGTTGTTCTAGCGTATAAAATCAAGCTCGTTCAAGTCCCCTCTACAGTTACTGTTTTTCGAGTCCCAAGAACTTACGAAGAAAACTTAACAAATATAGTTTACCGTTACCAACAAATTGCGGAAAACTTGCCTGACGAAATCTTCATCAGGATGACACTTGATGTCGTGAACAGTAGTGTTCGAACTGGAGCAAAAACCAACAGAGCGACATTCTTGACTTTGTACCTAGGAGATTCCGTAAAACTTCTCTCCCTCATGAATGAAACTTTTCCAGAACTGGGATTGATGCAATCTGATTGTACTGAAATGAGTTGGGTTGAATCTGTCCTTTATTGGACTAACTTCCCCACTGGAACTCCGGTTAACGTTCTTCTCAGTAGGGTACCTCAAGTATTAACCCACCTGAAGAGGAAATCCGATTACATAACAAACCCTATTCCAAAACAGGGTTTAGAGTTCATATTCAAGAGAATGATAGAACTGGAATCAGTAGCGCTTGCATTCAATCCTTATGGAGGAAGAATGGCTGAGATTCCACCATCAGAAAAACCTTTTCCACATAGAGCTGGAAATCTAGCCAAGATTCAATATGCAGCAAACTGGAATGAAAATGGAGTCGAGGCTGCTGAAAAATACATAAATTTGACAAGAAAATTATATGCTTATATGACTCCCTTCGTCTCCAAGTCACCAAGGGAAGCATTTCTCAATTACAGGGATCTTGATTTGGGGATTAACCACAATGGGAGAAACAGTTACTTGGAAGGTGCAGTTTATGGGATTAAGTATTTCAAGAATAATTTTAATAGATTGGTAAAGATTAAGACGAAGGCTGATCCAGACAATTTCTTTAGAAACGAACAAAGCATCCCGGTATTTCCATCCCGGAGAAGATAAGAAAGACAGAAATAGTGCATCTTATGTTGTCTGAAGTTGATGTTGCTTGTTATTGCGACACATTCCATCGTTGTTAATTTGCGTTTTAAGTGTTATTTTTTTTTTCAGGAAATTTACATTATATATTTCAAGGATAACTTTAATAGATTGGTAAAGATTAAGATGAAGGTTGATCCAGACAATTTCTATAGAAACGAACAAAGCATCCTGGTATTGTTGTAAATTTGTGTTTTAAGTATTTCTTAATAAAATTTGCATTTGTTTATATTTTGGTGATTGAATTAAGTTTGTTTAGCATATTTTGATAAAAAGATGATGAAATGTGTATTGAAAAATTGTGAATCTCATAAAATATATAATTAAATATTAAATTCTACCAAACAGGGACATTGTAACGGTTAAAGTCAAAGGAATATGCAGAGAGTCTTTGAGCCCCATTTTTATTAAAAAAAAAAATTGCATTTTAGAATAATAGATTGATAGGAAATTAGTATTTGAAAAGTAGGAAAATGTTTTTGATTTACATATAATATTATTTTAATAAAGATTGTGTAGTTGAAAAGAAGAAAGAGAAAAATATATTTTGAAAAAAATGGAAATCAAACAAAGCCACAATTAACCTTTTTTTTTTTTTTTTGGGTTAAGCCTCCATATTAAAACACGCACAAGTTTTCTATTAATATATCTAGTAATTTAGAATTAAATACAGCAAAAAATAATGCTTAGATATCTGTTCAATTTATTTTTTTGAGACCATTCATGCATTCGAGTTCAATGCCCTTTTGTTCAAATTCCATCTTGCTTTAAAATTTCACTTCATGCAAGAGAATTTAGATTAAACATGTTCTGTTGAAGACTTTTTCACATTTTACCTGTCCCTAGAAGTTTACAGAAGGAACTGTTCGCTTGAAATCTGCAAGCGTACGGGATCGTTGACAAATAATAATAAAGCAAGTTGTGAGTTATCGTCCCACGAGAAATAATATTTAATTCTAGTTCACTAATTTTTAAATTCAATATTCGTGCACAAAAAATGTGATTTTGTTGTTATTTAAACTAAGGAAGTAATAAAAATTATTTTATCAAATATACGAATGTTTGTATTGAAATCGTAAATCTCCCTATTACCATTTATTTTGATTCTTGCTTTGTAATATAGTCAATTTCATGCTTCGTGACAATTGATAACACTAATATATTTAATTCTCTTTTCCAAGATAAGTCTATTTTAATCAAGATTGATTCATATGACTAACATGCATTAAATAACTGGTAGATATGTGATTGCATATGTGATAAAAATTATTCATAATTCTATCTACATATATTAATTTTTCCATTTTCTGAATTTATTGTGAGTCTTCCAACACTACAACAAGCAACTAATTATTTAATTTGTGGTCAATCAATTAAATAATGCAATGGGTATACAAAATCAATCAAGAAATAATTAAAATCAATTTCAATTGTTGCACTTTGAGCCCAATTTCAATCTTCATTTATTTTAACTCTTTTTTTTTTTATGTCTTCTTACTCCCTTAGCTTTCAATTCCATCCAATTGAATTCACAACTTCTCCAAGAATCGATATTGGGTCCGAATCAACTATTAGCACTTTGCATTTTAATCCCCAAACTTTAGAATTCATTCATTTTCGCATGCTTTTTCGTTCATTTCTTCCAAATCTATTGTTGTGCATTGATTTAAATCTAACAAACATAATTAACATAAAATTAGGTTATAACTCATTCAAATCACTAGCAAATATTCTAATTTAATGGCCTTGATCAAATACCCCCAAACTTGAATATTTATTTGTCCCCAAACAAAATTATAACCTAACTTAAACAACAATTTTAAACATATATGGTAAGATAATTTGCCTTATGTCTCAGGATTGGAATATATGTATTTAGATTATGAACTGTTACAAAATCACAATACTAAAATTAATTTCTATTATGAACTGTTACAAAATCACAATACTAAAATTAATTTCTACTTATCTAATGCAAAACTGACGTGTGTGTGAAAATTCATGTCAAACATCATAAAGTCATAAAATGATTGAAATCCCGACCCTTAATAATCAAATTTACACCCTAGACTTATTGATTTAACTCTCTTCCCAAGGTGTGGCCTAAGATTAAAATTTTATATAATGCTGGATCATCTCTCTAGTTTGGTTAGATCTTACTAATTGCAGATCAACATATCAACAAATAAGGATTCTTCTTATTTTTTATTACTTCGACCTTCTAGAATCAACTAGGCTAATAATCCCTTGTTAAAAGTCTAATTTTCTCAAATAAGTGTTTGGGGCTTAATCAACACATGCTATATATATATATATATATATATTTTTTTTTTTTTCCTTTTTTTTTTCACATCTTATGTGCAGACTTTCTCAATTAAGCTTTATAAATGACCTCTGTAGCGAGTTTTTCGTTGATGACTCCCAAGTTAGACGACTTTAAAATACCAACTTTTTAGATACCCTTACAAGCTTAATTACTCGATTTATAAAGGCTAAGAAGAGAAGTTTCACAAGAAGACAATTTTTTTTTTCATTTTTCTATGCAATGATTAGTGCAATGCCCCTTATTAAACACATGTTATAAAAAATTAACCTCTAACTTAAGATTTTCACATAATTTTCATTTTATTGGCCTTGTCTAATTATTCTTTCATGATGCAAAACATAGATTTGTGCTCCAAAAATATCAAGTTTTACACAAATAAGTATATATCAACTCTAACATGCAATTTTTTCACAACATATAGTCTAACACAAGGTACCTTATATGTTCATCATGGTAGGCAAAATTTTCTAGCCCACACAAGCATACAAAAGCAAAATAAGTTAATTTTTATTTCTTTATTTTTACATTTTTTTTCACTCAAACAAGCACAAGAACCATTAAAATCAATGCTTTTCCATCCCCAAACTTATAACAGACATTGCCCTCAATGTCTTAAATCATAAATGCGCATGTAAAGGGTGGGGAAGAAAATGAAGAGAATACTTCCCAGATATGCACGTGAAATTCAATGGCTAGTTGTCCTATTGCTCCTGTTTTCTCCTTTGTCAATGTCAGTTTAAGTGTTCTTACGATGTCATGTTCCTACACAATGCAGCATTAAAGATCAAGTACCAGGAACATGTGTTACTCAACTCACACATCTAATAAACCAACTAAATCTCAAGGACCTAAGACGAAACGAGAAATGGATGATGAGTTCTTAATGATTAAATAAAAACTACTCTAAAGTATCCTAAGTCTTGAAAGCAATATAAATAAAAGGGACAGAGAAATATTGGGTTGCCTCCTAGCAAGCGCTTGTTTAAAGTCCTGAGCTTGACTCCTGTTCTTTCTAGGCTTTTCATGGTAGCTTGAAAAGGGAATTTTCAATCCTACATTTTCAGCATTGATTGCACTTCTTTAGTTCATGCTTGACTCTCCAAATAGTCATATTTAATTATTGTCCCTACCAACAATTCCTCCTGCATTAGGCCCACCTTTGTAGTTTTCCTAGTGATCTATTCGTTGGCAATCTTTAAAGTAGGAGGATTGCGTGATTGGATTCTCCATGGTAAAGCTCTGCTGTTTATAGTCCAACCTAAGGACTATTTCATTAATATCAAAATCCAGCAAGGCTCGGCTTGTAGACAAAAATGGCCTTCCTAGGATTATTGGCATCAGATATGCCTCTTCTATGTCCAAGATGATGAAGTCAACTAGAAAAATAAACTTCCCCACCTTGATAAGATGTCTTCGACTATTCGGTAAGGGTGTTTTAGTGATTAATCCGCCATTTGACGGACGATAGATGCCACCTTAGGATTTCTAAAACCCAGATTCCTATGCAGAGCCAAGGGAGTTAAATTAATACTTGCTCTCGAATCAATTAAACATTTTATGTCATGTAAATTTCCTATGAAGCAAGGTAGAGTGAAACTCCCTAGATCTTTAAGTTTGGGAGGGATTCTACACTGAATGATCACTCTTGTAATAACCAAGTTAAATTAAAAATAAATTATAATAGTCAAACCTAAGAATGGGTGTCAAAGATGTCATGCTATCGAAAAAAAAAATTAAAATTAAAAATGTCAGGCGGTGCATTGTCTTTATATCTATCCATTCTCAAACAAATCCATTTCCTTGTTTTTGCAAACATATACATAGAGAGAAGCCAAGAGCAGCTGGGAAAAAAGAATGAGAAAAGAGGAAAGAAAGAGGGAAAAAAAGGAAGAAGAAGAGAAAAAAAATAGGAAATTTCTACAAGGTGGTTTAAAAAAAAAGTAATTTCTAGTATTAAACTTGAATTCCTCAATTCGGAAAGGTAAGTAAAAAGTTACTTATTATCAAGTTATGTTTAATTTTATAGTTGTTAAATTGTTAGATTAAATTCAATTTTATTGAAGGGTTTAAGTATAATAAACTATGAAATTGAGTAAAGTGAAAGAAAAATTAGTTTTAATGATTAAAGAGACTATGGACATCGCTTAAACATGAAATAACTAAGTTTAGATATCACCTATTTAATTAGTGAAATTACTTAAAATAATTAATTTTTGATTTAAAAATTATATCATATTTCAGGCAGCGATACTGATATCTGGACAGCTTATCAATCAAGTTAATTTTGCGAAAAAATATAAATATTTTTAAAGTATTTATAAATTAAGTATATTATCAAAGTATTTGCAATTATGTGAATTATTTGCTCCATTATGTGATTACAATGAGAGTTTTTTTTATTATGATCCATGAGGAATTTCAAAGATTATTTAAAATATTGAGAATTGTTTGGTATGTGAGATTTGTGATATTGATATCGACCAGAAAAGTACCCATGATTATATATTTCTTCTAGTTCACCGAGAGGCCTTGGCCGTGTTTTATGCTACACTGAGAGGTCTTGGACCGAGATTGAAGGGGTTTTGATTGTGTACATATAGTTCACCGAGGGGACCTTGGCCGTGTTCTAGAATTAATTATCACAGGTTTTGAGACCAGCTTTAGTTCACGGAGGGGGCCAAAGGCCCGTGACGAACGTTCTTAGCCCGAGGGGTGGATTACAGATTTTAGTCAAAGGGTACATTTTTGGTAGATTTTTCAGTACATTTGATGTGAGGAGATTATAGCATGATTGTCAGCTTATGTTTATATCATGACTTGAGATAATATTTACCAAATTATGTGAATGTCTTACATTTTTTGTTATAATTATATGATGTTATCTTGCGAGCTATTCAATGATATG